TCTTTATGGATCTTATGAATCGAGTTTTCAAGGATTATCTCGATGAATTTGTTATCGTGTTTATTGATGACATCCTGATCTACTCAAAATCMAGAAAGCATCATGATCAACATCTTCAAATTATTTTGGAGATTCTTCAAACAACAAAGTTATATGCAAAACTTTCCAAATGTGAATTCGGGCTCGATCAAGTGTCTTTTCTCGGACATATAATCTCTGCTGAAGGTGTCAAAGTCGAGCCGGCGAAAATTGAAACCGTCACTAATTGGTCACGACCTACGAACGTATCTAAAGTTCRTGATTTTCTGGGTCTGGCTGGCTATTACAGACGATTCGTCGAATGTTTCTCTAAAATATCTCTGTCGTTGACCCGATTACTTCGAAAATGAGTCAAATTCAATTGGGGTTCCGAACAAGAATCTTGTTTTGAGGAATTGAAGCATCGATTGATTACCGCACCTATTCTTGTATTGTCGTCTGGTATTGGTGGGTTTGAAGTTTACAGTGATGTTTCAAAGAAATATCTCGGTTGTGTTCTTATGCAACACAGAAAAGTAATCGCATATGTTTCTCGTCAATTAAAGCCTTATGAGGTCAATTATCCGACTCATGATCTTGAATTGGCTGTAGTGATCTTCGTACTCAAGATCTCGCGTCACTATTTATACGGTGAGACCTGTGAAGTTTTCACTGACCACAAAATCCTCAAATACATCTTTACTAAAAAAGACTTAAATATGCATTAACGAAGGTGGTTTGAACATCTGAAAGATTATGATTTTCGGATATAGTATCATCCGGGCAAAGCTAATGTAGTCGCCGACGCTTTAAGCCGTAAAGCTGTGGAACAAGTTTCTTTTTTAATTGTTTCTACAGAATTGGCTTTAGAAATCAAATGGTTCGGACTAGAAATCTATCTGACTTCGCAAACAGAAATTCTATCGAATCTAATGGTAGAACCGACTCTAATCTCTCGAATTAAAGAAGCCCAACAAGATGATAGTAAATTGTGGGCAAATTTCCAGCAGGCACAAGAGACTTCTAGTTTAGAGTTTAGAATCGATGATGATCACGTGTTGTGGTTTCGGGATCGTCTTTGTGTTCCGAATAGCTCGGAGCTTAGAGATCTAATTTTGATCGAGGCTCATAACTCTATGTTTTTGGTTCATCCTGGCACAACAAAAATGTATCGTGATTTGAGTAACCATTTCTGGTGGATTGGAATGAAGTGAGATATCACCGACTTTGTAGCTCGTTGTCTCACTTGTCAACAAGCTAAAATTGAACATCAACGTCCGGGTGGTGTTCTCCAATCGTTGAACATTCTAGTATGGAAATGGGAGCACATAACTATGGATTTCATAGTCGGATTACCCCGTACGATCTTGAAACACGATGCAATCTGGGTAGTGGTTGACCGACTCACAAAATCGGCTCATTTTCTTCCTGTCCAACAAACTTGGTCAATTGATAAGCTGACCGAAGTTTTCCGAC